TCAGCCTGGCCTCTCTTCCTCCACCCATGCAGCAGTTCATACCCTTTCCCTCCTTTCTGCAGTTATTCCTCCCCTCACCACACACACACACACACACACTTTGCGTAGCAGAGGTGACAGGACAGGGTTTGGTGGAGGAGGAGGATCAAAGTCATCCTGTCGGTTTCCCATTGCCCTACTTCCCTCTACTGCACCGCTTCAACACATTACACCATGTGGGCCTTGTCCTGCATGTGTAGACACACAGTATATACATGCATGTGTCTATACGTAGCTGAAGAGCTATTGTGCGTGTGCTTGTGTGTGCGCGTGGCAGTTGTTCTGTCCCTAAGGGGAGCGTGCAGGGGGGTAAACAGCATGTCTGCATCAGGCTGCGGCCCCCATGACTGGAGTGGCAACTGGTGACTTTCAACTGAAAGTGGCTCTGGTTTTTCACACAAATGGTACCAAGCAGTAAACATGAATGGTTATGCGTTTATATTTAAATAAAGTTGAATTAAAGGCTTTTCGGATGACCCTGTCACTGCGAGTAATCACATCACATTCAGCTGAGAGGAACCTGTTAAACATGCGTGGACCATCAATGTTGTCTGTGTGTTATCTGCACTGTGATGAAAATGAATAGCGGATTTGTACAAGAAGCCAAAGCTGAGCCCTGAGAAACAGCTAACATTGAATCTGCCTTCATAAAAGACCTGCTGGACTTTCTTTAGATTGAGTCCTGAAAAAAAACCACTGGAGATAAAACATAAAGCCACAGTTCATTTCTTGTGCAGACTGAATTTATTTATAAAGTGTCGATATCCACAATCCTGGTTACAGTCTTATTTAGGATTAGATGTTCGCATGTCTCAATAGTCCAGAATACACCTCTAAATCCAACATATCTTATTCATCATTTTTGCAATAGAGATGATCCGGCTTATCGTATTCTAAATGGGACACAATTTAGACAATATGCCACTAGAACAATTCTGAATAAAACCAAGACAACGATGTGCATCTAAAAGAGGAGAGATGGCGACATGGATGAAAGGATGCAATATGTATCCAAACCATAAGACAAGTACATTTCTGAGCAAGTTTGTAAAAACTGTATCTGATCTGTTCCCATATTCAGAATACAGAGAGATGTGTTGGAAGCTAGCTTGTTAAATGATGAATGCAGTGAGGGGAATATAGAAGACAAGGGGCATGCAAAGATACCAGCAAGAGTCCATTGATATGTTTGACCCACTGTGTCTTTCTCCTGGAACAATCAGTATTATCAGTAGTTGCAGAAAAGAATCAGTACGTCAGCTGATTAATGTATCGGCTTATCTATCATATACCTTCTCGTTTCCATGCACTCCTCTCCTCTGTCAACTGATGACATCATCCTTCCTCGCTCTAGTCCTCCCTCTTGTCCTTTTCTTAATTTCCCCTCTCCGGTCTAGTTTTGGCCTGCCTCTCTTCAGTTTATCCCCCATGGAGACGACCTGTAATGTCAGCTACAACTTCTGACAAGCCCTCTGCATCACTTCCCATTTTCCTCAGAACAAGGGGCACTCAGAGCTGCTGTACAGCAGGCAGGAGCCTCTCAGGCGGGTGGTTCAGGAGCACATTGAGGGTCTGTGGTGGATGTCTCCCTGGAGCCTCGGGGTCGGTGGGTGTGCTACACTCTCTCTCTCACACACACACACACACACACACACACACACACACACACACACACACACATCTCTCCGAAAGCTCAAGAACATATGTGTCATGAAATGAGTCTATTGCGAGTGCAAGCAGATCTAGAGGCCCGGCTCACCTGCCGGCCGGTGTGAGCGAGTGTCCAAGGTTGGAACCTATAGCATTTGTGAAATAAATTCAGAGTGACAGCCAGAGTCAAGGTTAGTCTCCCTGCAGTGCACTGGCTTTAAACTAGCACATCATTTTGTGGCCGTCAGATGGCAACCACATATCTTGCAGAGGCCAGGTTTTCAGTCAGAAATGGGGCACGGATCATTTTGCCGGCAACGCTTAAAAATCTGGGTGTCACAAAACTGACTCGTCAAACACAATGCAAGAAGAAGACGCTGAATCGTCTCTCCCTGGTTCTTGTTAGGGATTTAGGCAGAAGTGCACGCCAAGCAGTAGAAATGATAATATGTGTGATCATGACTAGTGTAGTTTTTGTGCTATTATATATAAGTTAATTTGACTTGCTTTTTGTGTCTATATAAAAAATGTGTTCAATTCATATTGCAGATTTTAATCTAACATACATAATGTAATCATTGTACACATGACATCCAGCCACAATGTCAAGTGTAAAGTTAAAGCCTGGGGCAAGGATGCTTAAATGTTTGATGATGGATTTCTTCCATATTTTCTCCCCAATTAAGTTTTTTTTGCACGCTATATTATATTTACATAAAGAAGCTTTAGGTCAAAGGTGTATCATTGAATGTATTGTAATATTAAGTGAAAAGGGATTGATCAGGACAGTGACGGATTTCCGATTTGACCTTGAAGCCAAGGGAGAGAGTCGTAAAATCACGGTGACCAGCGTGGGAGGAGCTCCGTTTGAATGTGCAGCCAATCACATGCCACTGCAAATCAAGGACACAACCAGCGAGATCGGAAAAGACTCTGCTGTACAAGAGGCAGGCAGACGCCGCCTGAGAACCGTAGTTGATGATAATAATAGGCTGGTCCAGAGAGATTCTCAATTACGCAAAATATTATACCATTTCACTTTGTAATTGTATTGCTTCTGTTATTTATTAAATTATTTTTTTATTTTTAAACTCGAGCCAGTTGACTCTTTTTGACTTCTCGTCTCCTGCCGGGGACGGGGAAGAGAGCATTTCCTTTATTTGGAGGTTAGATCCCACATTCTGCGACATATTTTTATTTTGGTTTATTTCCTACTGAAAATCCTGTTATGCTCTGCTCTTCAGACGCTCGGGTTTTTTTTTATGCAACGAGCTCTTCAAAGTGCCAGTTCACTTGGACAACCACTGCTAAGTAGAGTGGAGCGGAGAAGAAGAAAAGCAAGGTGGCAGTTAGGAGCTCATAGATGTGATGTGCTACAGTAGCTGCTCCTGAACTGGACAGACCATGTGTATGTGGACCATCCGCTCTGTTGAAATTAGCTGCATACTCTAGTTGGATGCCTCGACAGCTTGCTGGTTGGGAAACCACCCACCTGACATTGACTCTCAGAGTCATATTCTGCCACAAGCTGTTTGGCTGAACCGAAGCAGCTCCTCGCTAATTGAGGAAAGAGGCTGCAAGTTCCCTGCAACGGTTTAGTGGGCTTCCGGCAGTGGGAGAACAGTCAGAGAAGTTTTTTTAAGTTTCAAGAGCACTTCAAACAGGTTTTATAAAGTGCCATAGCAACAGCAAAAGGTGTGAGTAGTTTTAACCGTGAAGGAATATCCCCCGTGGGGATAATGATTAACTCAAAAGCATGATGATATGCATTGTAATCGACTACTTTTTTCTTGTTAAATACAGAACGAATTTATTTACGATGAGATGCTTTGGATGCATCTGGCTGCAGAAATGAAAATGTGGGCACACATTTTCCGCCTTCATCTTTGTTGTTGTTGTTGTTGTGCTCCACACATATATGATGTGACGGTTTAGCTTTTGTCCCAAAAAAATACAAAATGTGAAGCACTCTGAGCCAAACAGAGGTCCGTTACACTACTAAATAAAGAGTCAGAAAATCAGGTTTTGTACAAGGAAAGAGATCATTTTCAAACCCAAAACAATTCCCTCTTCCCTGATAGATCCATCTGGCCAGGCAACCCAATCATTACATACATTACTAACACCGCTTTACATTAGAGAATAAGTGTGGGCTACGCTGGCAGCCCGTTTCCTTGGATTGGAGTCTAATTGATCAGGAAGGCCCTTCACCTCTCAGCTGCTCTTAGTGTTGGCATTTGGACGCCTACAACCTTCTTTTGGGCTTCCATACGAGGTGTAGGGAACAGAGTGACCTTTTAATGCCAAGGCCTTATACACTGCCACCTGCTGTAGCCTCACACACACACACACACACACACACACACACACACTTCCTCACTTCCTCCACTTTCCCATGATGAAATCCTCTCAAACAGCTCATATCATGCCACTTGATCTCCATTGATATATTTCAGAAGATTTGCTTTTGCCCCCAGCAATCCTCGAAGATCAATGTCAATTGTTGTGGCGTAACACCGGTATGAACGGTACGGAAGAAATTCATACCGTACGGAAAGCTTATACAAAGCATTAAAGCATCATGATTCATGATGCGCAGTTCGGTGGGTGACACAGTGATTTGTGACTAAAGGACTGCTCTCTGGATAGCCCGGCCGTTCCCAAACCCACATTCATGACACCGGCTATAGTCAGCGTGTGATGTCTCTTACTACCCGAATGCAACGAGGAAGCTAATCCAGTGTGACGGGTCCAGGGAAACTGCATACACCGCCCAGCCCTACCCTGGATGTTCAAATAAATCCACTAGAAGGAACAAAAAGTATCAACATGTGCAGGGAGGGAGGCCGAACACACGGCCAGTCCGGCTTATAGGCCTTTACCAGTATTACAATCACAGTACAGCACCAGCCTTTGCTCTCTTTGAGACTTGAGAATCAGCACATTACAAAATCTGACAAATCAGGAATAATGCTTCATCCGAACACTGTTCTTGACACAGTAAAGTACACCGCCATTCTCCTCCAATCATTGAGTTTGTTGTGACTTATTCAGCAGCTGGCTAGTTGGCTGTCTAGCAAGCTAATTCCGTCATGCATGTCACGGACTGCAGTGTTTGCTGGTGGCGAACGCCGCCGCCATTTACGTCACCCGGAGCCAGAGTCCGCTAATGGCCGAACTCACTTGCTATCGCAATATAGACGGCAGGCACGTCACAACACAGTATGCACTAAATTATTACAAACTGGACCCGAAATCCATCAACAACATGACTAGGTATGCAGGGACGTTAATTTCCACCGGGAACTTACCGTCGTCCTCCTTGCTGTGTGTGTTCTGGGGACTGTGGCGCATCCTCTCTCCTCGGCTCGGCGGGCTCAGGTCGGACGCTGCTCCCAAATCAGCTGCTAGCCATGTGGGCTCGCTCATCTCTGCCTCCTCCTCGCTGCTCAGTGAACCGTCATCCTGGCCGGGAAGGGAAGAGACAGGAACATTAGGTACACACTTCTCAATACTTATGTCCAGCATAACACTACCACAGTCATGCTTTTTCAATCCTTCAACCATTGCAAATCATACTGACTCCGAAATGCCAAAAGTCCAATTGTCATTTTGCCCATGGAACTTTTGAACTATTGAAAGAGGCTCATGAGAAAGGCATACAAGCACACTTGTAGATGAGTGTGTAAATCATAACGGACAAATTGTTTAAAAAAACAAATTCACTATTCCTCACTAGTGGCCAAAATTATACAACATAGTCACCCACTAAAAATAAATCTACATTGATGGAAGATACCCAAAGAAGGATTCCTAAATTACCATTTTTTTCCTTTTCTAGGAGCTGATTTCTTCCTTAAAGCCATCTAAACTCAGATTACCCGCATTTTCCAGGAATGAAGCGGTTCTAAGCCACATTTAATCTCTCTTTTCCCTGCTTTGTCAGAGTCAGCATCCATGGGAGCTGGCATGACAGCTGCTTCGCTGGTTTAACCCCAAACATCAGAGGAAACAAGACACACGAGGCAGAGAACCAGCGGGCAGGCAAATCAAACATAACATGCGGCTCAGTGTGCAGCACCTGTGGGCCCCGCTGGTAGCAGGAACATCACAATGAGACGCTTTCCGCTCTGAGTGGTCATCCTTTACTGTCACTCACTTTTTTTATTTGAAATAAAAAATAATAATAATAAATGCACCACTGTCTTTAGGAACTAGGATTTGTTTTGACAGTCTCGAGCTACCAAAAGCTGAGCAAAGCACTTAGTAAAGGTTGTGATCGGGATTGGGGGATTTTAGTAGTCATGAAATAGATTTAAAATAGAGTGTTAAGATCAGCTGGTGACTGACTGAAGGAAAGCAGAGTATATCTATATGTGAAGAAGTGGTAGAACTTCAGTACACAACTCTTATTTGGTGTTTAAACTGTACATTAAGTACAGTACATTTTTCGGGGGATTGACATGAGTTCAAGATCTGAATTAATTTCAGGTCTTCTCCAATACAGCATGTTCATTTTGTAAATTAAAGTCCCATTAAGAGCAGAACGGAGGAGAAAACAGGTTATTCTTTAGGGTGAGCCACATGTGACTGACAGGTTGCTGCCACAGCGGTTTGACTTTTGTCGGTAACTCTTTCAAAGTACTTTCTGGGTCATAAAAGTTCACCATTTTTACTAATAAAAAACAAAATGGAGAGAAAAGTTCTTTGAAAGGTATGACATTGTTGAACTGACATACAATAATTGCTTTTGGAAAATAAACAGAGGGATAAAAACACTACACTATGGTTCATTATGTTTAATTTGTATTTTAGTTATGTTTTAATCTCTCCTCTCTTATTTGTGCATTTGTGTAGAGTATGATCATAACTACCGCAAATAAGCTAGTCCCATGATTTTTTATGTTTTAACTAGACAAGAAAAAGTTCTTATCATTGTCCCTGAACACACCTCAAAACAAATAGACACTCCGTAACCTCCTTGTTCACAACATGAATCAACTACAAGAAAGCAGCGCGTTATCTTGAACTGTGACTTGAACCTGGAGCAGCAGTATATGGAAAGCACACACGCACACACACACACACACACAGAAACGGAGACATACACACACCTCTAAAGCTGTTATCAGCATCTAAGGAGACTTGCACATTCAGTAATGAGGTCCTGAGTGCTTCAACCGCCTTTTATCACACACACACACACACACACACACACACACACACACACACACACACACACACACGCACACACACACACACACTCTTAAAGATTAACGAATGAGCAGACACCTTCATGACACTCGAGCTGCGGTAAAATGCTTTTCAGGATTGTTGCTTCTCTACAAATTCTCAAAATAAAAACACATAGTACAAGACCAGCTTACCACTTATTTGCAACATTTCTCCTGTAAAGAGACTAACGAGGTGGCACCTCCTTCAGATTTCGTTTCGCTTTCAGTGCGCGCCGAATCTCCGATGTGTACTTTTTTCTAGCAAACTGGCGCTGTATCGCAATCAGCACAGAGCATCGAGAAAGTTGCCAAAGAGAAAGAAAAGACCACTCTGTTTTTGACTGAACCCCAACACAGCGACAGCCATCAGCAATCAAAAGTCTATTGCTGACAGAGACTAACTGGGTGATGAGGTTGCACCATTGCTATTTGAGGTTTGAAGGGAAACGCAGTGTTTCCGATGGTAACGTCTCTGCCACCACTACAATAGATCACTAAAGTAAATTGTATCTTCTGCAATCTCAATGTACTTGTTGGCGTGAAAAAAGGAAATAAAGTAACCACACAGACCAGACACACACACACACACACACACATAAAAAAATGCAATATCTAAAAGAAAATTAGGAAATAAGTTATAATACAAAATCCATATATATATCTCGGAGAAGGCGAATGCAACAGTACTAGATCAATTCAATTTTTTAATAATCTTAAAAAAATATGCTATGTTTCATGAAAATGTATGAGAAGGGATTATTTTTTAAATAATAAAAGAATAAAAATAAAATATCTCAAAAACCAAATGAGATCTTTACCTTTTTGCCCGTGGAATTCAATAGATTAGCTTCATATTTAGTGGATGAGTTACAACAAACAGCTTAACCAGGTCATGTGATATGCTACTTCAGTACACCTTTCGAATAACATGACATTAAACATGCATGTGTGTGAATCACCCACGCAACATTTTGAGCCATAGAAAACACTTATATGTCAACACTAACCGCACCAATGAAGGCAATTAGCAATAAGAGTATCTCTGCTAATGTAGCCCCGTGGATCATGGGAGCAGAGGTGTGCAGAGGCATCTGGAGGAGGGGGGGGGGGGGCATTAGGTTCATGGAGAGGTTAGGGGGTGGGTTGCTTATAATCTTTTCTCCTTAATAAGGCCAGCTTAAAAATAAGAACCTTTTTTTGGAGTTGCATGATTTTATCACATACTGTACATTGTTACCTTTTAAATGTTGCTGAGGTGGAAATGACGAGTAACTTTGATGATATGTCATGTACTTTCCCTTTTCACCTAATTAATAAAACAACAGAAAACCTTCATCCGTGCTTTTATTATTGTAACTGAACACAAAATAAAAAAAGGAACTACTGCCGGGGATTCCCTAACTTCTAAAGAGAAAATGACAGTTGTGTACATACAACTCTCCCTCCCTCCCTCTCTCTCCTGTAGTGAGTTCATGAGGCAGCACTGACCCATATCTTTCCATTAAAGAGGGTTGTCAGAGGAGGAGTTTCCCTTGATCCGTCACACTGGATTAGCTTCCTCGTTGCATTCGGGTAGTAAGAGACATCACACGCTGACAATAGCCGGTGTCATGAATGTGGGTTTGGGAACAGCCGAGTTATCCAGAGAGCAGTCCTTTAGTCACAAATCACTGTGTCACCCACCGAACTGCGCATCATGAATCATGATGCTTTAATGTTAACGTCAGCTGCAACTTCTATGTGTTATTAGAATTCCTCAATTCAATTATTATATTCGCAGGAGGCAGAAAAACCTTCAACAGCTCCCAGTATGTGCACAAGAAACAAAGCTGCTGCAGGCAGTACGACTTATAATACTCCCTCGCAGCTAAATGTAATTCCTGGACGCAAAAGTTTTGCAGAGGTCACATTGCTGGGCGTCTTACAAATATGTACGTTTGTGAGCGAGCTTGTGAAGTTACAGCTCGGCATGTTAATCAGCTTGGAGACTGTTCCGAGGCTGTTCATTCACCACACCCGAGCACATGAATCAACTCTGACAAATGATCAAATGAGACCTCATTTTAATTTAATTTTGCTTATTTTAATTATTTTTCTATTACTATCACCATCAGCTCACATTCAAGCAGGTAATTTTCAATTACCATATGATCTTGATGCCATAATCACTGGTAACCCTCATCTCTCATTCGTGTTACTGGAGGACCGAAGAACAGAAGATTCGTATTAGACGCGTGGGTGCTTTTTAATGGTAAATCTGTCTGACTTTCATAGACTCGTTGAAAACTAACTCTGAGAACTTATTCTCAGATAATTTGGTGTGGCCATAATCCAGCAGGATGCTTCATTTAAGCATAGTCTCTGGAAGTTGTTCTCTTTTAGGAAGGTCTTTGCAGATTTAAATTAAATTATAACACTCTGTTGGCAACATCTTGAATCTACCAGAAAATTGTGACAATAACTCAAGTGTAATATAACAATTATCAATAGCGAGAAAAATGTGCTCTATTAATCTACTTCTATAATCTATTTACCAGTGAAAGATAATATGTGTATTCCCCCCTGTGATTCAGAACCTTTCCGAAATCTAATGGGTACTTCCTCGGACCACGCTACACGGTGGGTTCACTCAGTGATTCTTCAGTTATCCTGCTGACACAAACACAAAACTGAATTTGCCAGTTGATTAAGATTGGCAGAAAATGTAATGGGATCTTCCTTTGGCTCGTGCTAAACCTTCCCATTAAGTGGTGTGTAAATCAGACCGGAGGTTAAGAATAATAGTAAAGTAAAAATCAGGAGGAAAGAACTTGCTTATTTCATCATCATTATGTTACAAGGCAGGGGGTTATGGTTAAAAATCACTAATAACCCCAAACCCTAAAAATCACAAATATAATATCTCTATAATCAATTAAACGCATAGACGCATAGGTTATGATAAATGGACTTCTGATCACTCAGAGCGCTTCAACCTCATACCCATTCTCCAATGGACAGATTAAGGTGTCTTCCCCAAAGACACATCGACATTGACTAGCCGGGGATCAAACAGTCAGTCCTTTACCTGAAGGACAACCCGCTCTAGCACTGAGGAACACCCCCCCCCCCCACAGATTTAATCAACACGACCATACGGCTCATATTACTGTGAATTCCTTATTCCTTACGGTTTATGGGAACAAATTGCAATCCCCAATCCCGATCACAAGCGCCGTCTGTGATCACGGC